ATAGTGTATTCTTATTGGTCACTAGACGCTCTTTGCTGACCAACAGGAGTTTATGTTGGTCAATTTTTCTCTTTCCCGATGCTTTTCACAAATATTTTTAGTTCAGTAAAACAGTTTATTTCCTACTGTGCATTTTCCACGCAAGCATGAAACTTTTAACCATGATTTCCGTAGGAAACTTGGGCAGGGGGCTTTTAAAATTTGCTGGCCCCACCATAGATCACTACCAGACCCGGGTGCAAACCTCAGGTGCCCTCAAGGCAGGGAGTTGAGCAAGGCCAGCTAACAGCGATCCTAGTTGGTGATTGATGAATGCATTCCCAACACAGAAAAAAGCACAATTCCAGACGCAGTTAATAGTACCTGAAGTTAAAAAGGCAAACTTAAGATGCGGCTCAGCCATGGACGTGTCATGCTCAAGTTTTTAACACGATAAGAGAAGTCTAATTCAGAGAAAATAATTTTGTTCACGAGAGCAACTTTTGTTTTGTGCTGACTTTTCGGAGAGCTTGGCTGGCTCTCCACTGTCATAACGTCAACTGTCACTACAGATTAGCGACCTGAATGTCTGGCTGAACTTGTCGAGCTTGGACTGGTATATTTATTTTCTCTCGTTTACTGTCTCGACCTTCGTGTTTGCGTTGTTTGAAGGCCGCTGGTGTTGTGCTTCGTTCCCACGGTGAAGGGTGCTGGTAATCCTGCTTCCGTAATACTACTCCAACCTACGATACTTCAGAGAAGACCAATTAGCAGGACTGGTGATCAGTCAGGCCTAAGGATATCACCACGTGGTCTGCGACTGACTGTTCATCAGATCAAGAGTCTGCTAGTTTCGCAGCGAGCCTTTAACTCGGTTAACACTCGTTTTTATGGGTTCCTGTTGCCTGTATTCCACCTTTTTAGAAGAGCTTCAATATAGTTATTCATTTCCTACAGTAACCTGCACTGTATGACCGAGTTGGAGTGCAACTGTATTCATTTATGGTGGCAAACAGGCGTACACGGATCAGTTAGCGAGCATACTCGTCCGTTCATGGTGCCTTTGGAGCTCACACTCGAGCCTACGCTGCAAAGCGGCTAATGATATAGGCAGAATGACATTACGGCCAAAGGCAAGGGAGTCTAGGATGGCCATTTCTGACTTATTAGCCATCGTCAACTAGCCATACCCAACTAAAGTATTGCCCTAAACAGTGTCACCGCGCTCAAGCTTCAAACCCGCAACCTTGTTAGGTAGAAGTCCACCGCTCTAACAACTACGCGGGTTCGAAGCTCGAGCGCGGTACCAATCTCTGGGACAATACTTGAGTTGGGTATGACTAGCTGACGATAGCTAATAAGCCAAAATTTGCCCTCCTAGTCTCCCTTGATTTTGTCCGTAATGCCTTTATTCTTTCATCTGTCTATCTATTGAAAATGCAGTCTACGCAAAGCGTGGAATTTTAAGACAACCTATTAGTGTGATCAGGCTGGCCGCCCAATAAACTCCCACAAGTCGACAGCAGCAGGAGGAGCTGGTCTTTCGCAACACGACAGCAGCATATTTGAAGACAATATGAAGAGTGGGCAGAGGATACGATAGATTAGGATTAAATTCAAGAACAGCAGATCAAAAGTATAAATTAATTGAAAGGCGGTCCAAGCAAGACGGTTGACTAGGAGCCTAAATGCAAGAGATCACTGAAGGAGGGAAAGGATGCCCAGCAGAGTGTTAACGCGGTTTTGAGAGCCAAAGATATAACGGCGCCTGTGAGTGTCAGACTGATTGCTATACAGAGTTTTTGACTACTGGCGCGTCCTAGGAGCATGCCGCGTTCTCCCCATAGTAGGAGCCAATCATTGCGTGCTGGTTCTCGTAGCAGTGGGCAACAGGGGGATCAGGCACAGCGAACAGGTAAACACCGCAGGCGGGATTGAGCGACCCAGAAGGGAAGGAATTCAGGCTGGGCGAGCAAGAGGCCCCAGTACCCTCGTCGAGAGCAGGAGAGTCAGAAATGGAATGATTCTGGATCCAACTATGCGTCAATTGACTGGTCATTGCTGGAAGGGAGGAGTGGCGTCGCTGACCCCTGGTGACAGTTGTGTCAGCGTTGCCTACAATATAAAATGAAGGGAGGGGGTGTTATCTTCGGTTGAATAATTTTGGAATTCTTCACGTCCATCTGACCTACATGCATATTGTTCCCTGATCTTTTTTTT